AGAACAAAGTCACTGTAGCGAACTTCCTACTTGTTAATACATGTGCTAAATTACTAATCATGATGACAGATCTTGATGCGTACAATTTCGCTTAAAAAAAAAATAAAAATTCGAATGGGTAAGCTCCTACTTCTCCTGGTCCTTTTACCACCAGCCAACGGAGCCACAAGCTAGCCATCCACCCATGTGAAGCTCCTCTTTAAATATCCCGGGGTTCGTGCAACTGAAAAAGTTCTTCACTGCGGCATGTGTTCAGCTCGAGGCGCCTTCCCTCTGCGTACTTCGCTACACATGTCATTTGAAGTGTTCGGTTGCCCATTTCAAATGCCCACCTTTACAACGTTATCATATCACCCCCTTATGGATGCTCCTTTTCAAGCCAATTCACACGCTGATCTGTTATCACGCCTCAGCGAAGCAGGCGTGGATAGGAACCACGGCTACCCACTCCATCGCAACATTTCCCTCAAGATTTGAGCCCTCCCCAATATGTTTCCCCTTCGTTTCAACGCAATAGAATGTACAGAATGACAAGGTGAGAAGGGGCCCCCTCTCCCCCAAAAAAAAAAAAAAAAAAAAAAAAAGGACACCCCCGCGCGGGGGCAGCTCAATTTCATACCGCGTCAGGATAACATATTCCGCGACAGTTTTCTCCACTTTTTTCTCCCCTTTGCGCTCCTCACCTGATATGATTAATGTACTTATTCTTCAATAAGGGCGACTTCATCAGGTTGTCCAGGGAGGGCTTACTTATCACTTCGTTATTTTTCATGATAGTGTTTACCTCTTCGAGGAAACTCAGACATGTTTCGTCGTTCTGGAAGTTTAGCAGTCTTGTCAGGGTGGATAGGCCGACCTTGATACTGGTCCTGCAAAGATAAAAAGACAGGGCATGGGGGGGAAGGGTCATAAGTGGTGGCCGCCATCCGATAGTGACATGGATCAATGAGGACGCAGTTCATACAAATAGGGAAGCGGCGAGCTGTGGAGACCCCCACTCATAAGGCATTCACCCACAAGGGCTCCACTTACATGCATATATTTATCAGTGCCAGGAGCCTGTACTTAGGCAGGAACAAAACGATCAGATAATTGGTCAGATAGGGCATCCTAACAGCGTCCTTCTTCTCACCTCCACCTTCGAGGCATTCTTCCACCTCCTCAGCTTTCATTTCACTGTGCTGTTTCACGAACTCGGTTAGCAAATCCATGTTGACACTCAAATCTCGGTTCTCGCTCAATCCCATCAGATTAGGTAGATAAGTCAAAATATGGTTATTAATAAATACTCTCCTGTATATATAGAGATGGTTTGCCTCATCGTTTAAGGGAGCCACCATGTTGATGTTTACTAAATACATCTTATTCTTGATGCACTCATTTAGGTAGTAACACAGTTGCACGTTCTGATGATTCTTCTCCTCGTCGCTCAGCGTTAGGTATTCGACGAGGAACTCCTGGTGCATGTTCTGAAGGGTCAGATAAATGAGCTTGTAGCAGAGGAATTCGACCTGCGAGAAGGGGGGATTTGCGGTGAACAAATGAGTTAGCGGTGAGGCTACGGCTTGGCGGTCGATCGAGCCAACATAGCGACCAACGAGAACCCTCCGTACCTTGGACTTCTTTATGTTCAGCCGCTGGTACAACTCAAACAGCTTGTTGATACACTGCAGGAATTGGAAAAGGTCATTGTTCACGATACAGATCCTGATGTTCGTCTCGTATATATTGACCACATCGTCGTGGAAAATGTTCTGGATGTTCATGTCTTGCCGCATCGATCTGAACTGCTCGTTGATATACTTATAGTTCCTGTCTTGGTTGTACTTTTGCAGGACGTATGCGTAGGTGCACTTAAGTACGGAGAAGTTTCTCACCTGGGGAGCGGCGACAAAGAAAACATAACAGGTATGCAGAGTTATAAAACACAACGACATGTTCAAGGTTGAACGGGCGGAAGGGCCAATTGGCACAGCGAGGACAATCTCCGATGCGCCCTCCCCGCCTAGGATCATGTCTCATTACATTTTTCCGTTCCGGGAGGGACGTCAATCTGAAGAAAAATTTCTGGATGCTTTTACACGAACCCACAAAATTCTTATTCTTGTAGCAGCTGGAGAAGTTGTATTTGTCAAGCAGCTTCTCCAGGGTGTTGTAATCACTGTGATCCACGTCATGCGCTCCGTTGTAATCAATGTAAAATGAGTTATCGGACTGTTCATTCTTTTTCCCTTTGGAGACATTCCCATACTTCTCCAATCTCCTATCCCGACTCTCGATTTCCTCTGCGCTTAACTTCTTCTTCTTGTCACTGAAATTGAGGCCGTACTCCATGTCGTTGTCCTCGTCGTTCATCGCGTACCGCTTTTTCGCTTCTGCAGGGAAGGGGGGGGGGAAGAGAAAACATGGAGCAGTAGAACGCGGGAAGGGCATACCTCACGGGTGATGCACCACAGATGATGTACAACAGGTGATACACAACATATAACGTGCCACGGGTTACTGGCCCCCATCTGCGGCCCCACTATCGCACAAGCCTCCTCCCCGCAACAAACGCTCGAATATAGAAAAAAAAAGGAATTACTTCTACGCGTGAAAAAGAGCATGTCCATGGAGAAGATATCCTCCTTCGTTGGCATCACGTTGAACCTCCAAAACCACGTGTTCGTAGCTCTCTTCCTGTTCCATGCTACTAGTCTGCTTATGAACTCTTTCAACATTCTTGCAAAATTGGCGTTCTTGCATTCTTCCTTGAATTCCTCCTGTATGTTATTTATATACATCTTAAAGGTGTCACACTTTTTCAGTCCATCGGAGGGTTCCTCCTCCGCGCTTGTCCTGTGAGCCCTGGCAACATGCGGGTACCTACTACCGCTGCTGAGGATGCCACTGCCGAGGTTACCACTGCCAACGTTGTCACTGCTGAGGTTATCCTGGTCGTAACCCCCATCCTTGTAGAGACCCCGACTGCCCCTGTCCAGCTCCTCGCCGTCCCGAATGCCATCCTTATGCATTCTGTACCTGCCACTCACGTCTTTCCTGATGGTGCTCTGATTTGTCGAGCGACCTGTGTCGTTAACATGTTTATAAAGTCGGCGATCCCTGTTCTCATGCTTCCCCACTTGCTGCCGCTCCTCCACGTCGCTGCCTTCATCGTGCCCCCTACGATTCTCGTCATACCTCTGCTCAACGCCTGGCACGAACGGCTCCTTGCCGTTCCCTCCCTGATGACCCATTCCCCCAAGGCGATTACTGCTCGTGTCATAATTCGCTTTGATATTCATTCCGTTTGGGAACAAATGAGACTCCCGCTCGCTGCCATACAAGGAGTAACGAGTATTGCCATACGACTTCGGATCATTTCCGTTAATGTCTCTTCCGTGAGGCATGCCGCTGACACTGTTAAAGCCTGATGTACCATTCCTTTTGTACTTGTTGCTGAGCTCACTTTCATCGTTCGCTTTCACCGCTTGACTGCTAAGGTGATAGTCATTGTTGCTTCCTCTTGTCTCGTCTCCACCTGCGTAACTGGCAACCACGTCGTGGTTTAATCCATCGTGTGCGTTATTTCCTCTTGCTCCGTTGGCATACCCCATGGGGCCCTGGTTTATCGGAATCCCCTCGGTGATGTCATTCCTGCCTGTGGCATCACCGCTGAAGGGGCTACTCGCATCATTACGAACGCGCTGCTGATCATACGGGAACATATGAACAAAGTTGTTTCCTGCAACGTGACTTGGATCCTTCATCATAACTGCACTGGGGGGATACAAACCAGTCTGCACCTTCCGATCATTGTTCCTATCCTCACCACCTAAACGCCTACCATCGGCCACTTCATGATTGGCAGTCCTGCGGCTAGGGTCATTACCAGCCCTGCCATACATTTGAAATAATTTATTTTTCGATTTGTTCAAGGTAAAGCTTATTTTCTTTTTCGCCTCATAATTAAAGGGATAATCGTTGCTATTTTTACTGCCGTTAATTATGCCATTGTTAGGCTCTCCACCGGTTCCACTGCTCTGTTCATCATAAGTGTAATTATTCATTTTTTTACTCTTGTTTAACTTCTTCATCTCTTCAATCGAGTCAATCATATTGTTAATTTTTTCCACTTTAAAATTGTAGACATCGTTTTGGTTGGCTCCACCCTCCATGTCAGTGGAGTCATTCCCTTGCTTCGCCTTAACACCACTGTTTGCAGAGTTACTCCCTTCTACGGTGCCGCTCATATGGTGTTCCGCACTATCAACCTCACCAGAGTTCAGTTTAGACAAATCGCCCAACTTCTCATGGTCACTTAGGGGCAAATTAATATTCCCAATATTTAACGATCCCAAATTCATACTCTGTAAATTTACCTTCTGATTAAGTAGAAATTCTTGGAGATTTGTCTCTTGTTGATAATAGGACAAATTTGAAGAGACACAATTATTTATCTGTTTAATTGATTCTTTTGACGACAAAATAGCATTTTTAACTAACAGGAAGTACCTACTTAACGTTATAAAAATGTACTTTTTCGATTCCATGGAGGCTTCCTTTTCTGGGTACCCTAATTTTAGATAATGATAAAACACGTGGAAGTAGTATATCTCCTTCACCTTATTGATGTACATCTCTACATACTTATCATCGTTATTTACGTTACTAGATGGTGGGTCCATATCCTTGTCATTCTTCTTCGCCTCCTCTTCATGGACCTCTTTGGACATAGCACTACTGTTGTTTGCTTTACCTCCACCCCTCATGTTGGTACAATCCTTCACGTGACTGTAACTTGTGCTATCTCCGCAGCAGTTAAAATTAGAGAAATAATTCTCACTTTTACTGTAAACGTAGTTACCGCTCTGATAGTTTGCGTAACTTCCAAAGGAGTTGCCACCCCCTTGGTACCCACCCATTTGGTAAGCCATATTTTGATAACCTCCACCTGCGTAGCTATTTTGATAACCATTTGGATAACCACTGTGGGAATTATTCAATGCGCCAAAATTCTGTAGACTACTTAGCCCACTTCCTGGAGGGCCGTACCCTCCATAAGTGGAATTATTATACAGGTACTTGTTTCCTTCCTTTGGACTTGCTTCATACACATTGCCACCCTTTCCTGAAGTGCTGAATGACACGCCGTCGTTTTTTCCTCCCTCCTTTTGGCTACCACCTCTGTTCGCCTCGCTCATCCTTTGGCACCAAGAGGGAGATATATGTGGACACGTTTCTGCTCGTCACTTATCACACGGAATGAGGGTGCAGGAACAAACTAGATGATGTGCCTCCATACGCACAGAAACAGGACTTAAATCTATCCAAGGGGCATAAAACGAGAGCAACTTCACAGAAAGTGCTACTGTATATATATGCTTTGTCAACGTGGCGAAATCACTGCCGGGCTTTGCAACCCCTGTGGGCCCTGCACTCGAAACGCTATGCACACAAGGCAGTAGCTGCTTCGCCGTATATAAGGGACACACAAACACGTGCTACATCATCGTATTCTTATCCGCACGTGCATGTATATATCCTCACACGGTCATATGCGCCCCTATGTAAAAACTCTCTCAAACTCGCTGAAACTTTCTCAAATATCTCGAACTTTCTCGAATTCTCTCAAATCCTGTACAGTACCCCGCGCAACGCGAACTCATGCACACGGGGCGCATTCGCAGAACTCCCAACTTTTCTAATTGCCCATGGAATTCTTCATGAGGCAAACGTTCGCCCAGGAGCACCGTTAAAATAAATGTAAAAAATCTTAATTCATGAATGAAGTGAAGAGAAACACGGGAGATATATCTTTGTAGTACCCAAATCCGACGCGCCCAAAAGATACGAACTTAAAAATTGGGCGCGAGAACTGGGGACGGCGTAAAACAATGAACGAAGGGGGTTATAGGGGAGCCGCAAACAGAGGGGGAAACGAAGGAGGAAAAGCGTAAAAAACCTAAAAAACGCAAAAAATGTGGAAAGGCAAAAGCGCAAAAACGATTAAACGCATAAAGGAACAACGAATGGGAAGAAAAAATTGCAAATGAAACAGAAGGGATAACAAACCAACACTATGAAAAAAATTAAAAAGAAACGAAAGGAACGGAAGGAACAAAAATTGAAAAATAAGAAGAGAAACGAAAAAAATATTTTTTAATTGCCTAACAGGAATGCTATGCAAAAGAAAAAAAAAAAAAAAAAAAGCGCTACATAAAGAAGGGCCATGAAAAATAAGTATACCCTTCTGCTAATTTGGCCAAAGCATGACCAAAAAAAGTACCAGCATAGAGACATCGCCAGATCGTTTTAACGTGTATTTGGCCTATCAACCGTCTTTGTGTATATGCAGTCATATCTTTATGAGAGCGTACACCCAGCAGAACATCGCTTTGATCGAAATGTCAATGCACCTGGCACCTTTGCGTTGGCAGTTACAGCGACAGTTGTTTGGCCGTGTAAGTTACCCATGTACGTATGCAGCGCATGCGCACATACCTGCGCGCGCCTACATTTGCATACATAGCACAAACGTCTACGTGTGTACCCGAGGATACACAGACCTACTACTCACATGTACGTTTTAATGCTTACCCCCATGTTTCTACATTGTTGCAAAGGAGGGCCACGTCTCTCATGGTAGTTCGTATGTCTCCATTCCGGGATTACTGAATTGAGGAGAACTCCCCACATCGTCTCGAAATCCTTTCCATAAGCGGTGTGCGCGAAGAAGGTGCCATGGAAGGATTACAACAAACCGTTCCATCCCGCAATTTTCGCCCATTCTCCTACGTTTTCCCATTTTGTGAAAGTGTGTGCCTTATAAAGAATGTCCAACTCTCCTTTTCTCACTTTTCCCCCCTGTACCAGCTGTATACCTACTTCGATGAATGCGTGTGATTGTTCTGGTTTCGTCTGGCTTGGGGTCTACAACGGGGGTTCCCCTCCTGCCTGCAGTGGGCATCGCCTGTAAGGACATGAAACCTACTCCCCCTGTACATATACCGAATGGTAAGTAGGAACCCTGGCACACACCATGATCTTAATTTTTTTTCTTCTCTTTTTCTCATTAATGTGTATCCGCTGAAGACCCACTCATGAACACGCAGCACTTACAAAATTGAAACTCATTTTAGTGCGTGTGCAAATTGATAATATCGCCAAATACGGCAATTTTTTTCCCACGTCAACAGTTGTTGCGATAATATATGCATTTTCATCTCTCATTCTTTCGCTTCCAACAATCGGTTAAGTTGTCCAAACAGATGCCTCCCCCCATCCCCAACGTGCTACACCATCCGTTAGAAACCATTCCTGTACGCGCAAGTGCGTAATTTGATGGAGCCATAAAATAGCATACCGTTTGGTATCTGCATAAGGTTTATTGGCGCGCATTTGTTCCTACTGTATGACCTCACATTTTATTACGAAAGTTTGCGTTTATGTATCCCACTACCGCAATGTTAAATATGCAACGCCATGTTGAAAGGTTCATAGTTCAAGGAATACGATACACAGTGTGTAGGTAGTTACTTAGCCAGCTGGCTAGCTCTTTTTTTTTTTTTTTTTTATCCAAATTGTACATGCATTTTTTTTACAGCTATTTGGACCCCTAACTATAGCCTCAAAAGTGCATTAGGCAAAGGTGAGCACTAAATAGAAACACAAAAACAGGGCAATCCCACTTATCCTGTTGTGATGTGTTAACAGCACTGACACCCAAACAAGGGGTAAACCAAAATACGAAGGGAAGAGTGCGAAATGATTGGCCCACTTGTACGTTTATATCGGGAATGTTATCTGTGGGCAGTCCGGATCACACACATATTCTCATGCAATGCGTACCATTTCGGTTGAAATAATTTATGAACTGGTCATGCTAATCGAACCTAATGGTGCATTTTTTTTTTAAATCTGCACTTAATTACCATTTTCACACTTTTTAAGGCGCAAAATGACCGAAATTATTTTACACGTGTGGTTCTTCACTTTTCGCTACGTTTTGCAATACATCTTCCCTACTCTCTAGAGATCCTCATCCATTTCTCTAAGCGAAACGGGTCGTTTATTCCTGAGTGTATCGTTCCAATGTATTTTCTTCGGTTTCGTGTACCCCTGGTGAATTATATACTTCAGCTGGATCTCCGGTTGGGCATTACCTTCGCCGTGTAAATGTTGCAAATCGCTAAAATTTGTAAAAGGCGCATAGTCACTTTTGAAAGAGAGACGTTCCGGCAAATGCAACGTCCTCTCAATCGAATCGTCTATGTCGTAGGTTATCCCAATTGGTGTGTACTTCCCATTCGTGTTTTTCTCCTCATATAATTTATTCATTCTTGTCTCAAATTTTTTGTTTAACAAATACAGTGGCTTCTTTGCAATTTCTGGGTAAAATGTGCATTCCTTCATTTCTCTCGCATCCTTTTCTATCTTGATGTTCTGTAACTTTTTTCTCGTTTTTTCATTAAAATATTTGATGTGAGTATCCAAATCGGCATTTACTAATTGGTCATCCAGGAAGAATATGCTTTTCAATTCCTTTGTCCTTTTTTTAATTTTGATTCCCTTCTTTTTTCGTTCACTATTCAGTTGTTTCAAATAATGCACATAGCTGTAAAACTTGGTGATCACATTTTGTGGATACTTCATCATTCCGTATATACGCCTATCCCTACCGTGTGTGCTAGTCTGTACGAATTGCATCACGACATCAATAAAAACTTCTTTCGTTATAAACTCGCCCACAGGTTGGAACGCGGATACTTCCCGCAGGAGGATTAACAAAAGGGTTGCGAAGGACTTGGTGCAAAAAAATATCTGCCCCTTCGGCGCATTCTCCTTTGCGAAGAATGTGCGATTTTGCTCCTTCTGACTAACGGCATCTTCTCCATTTAACTTAACATGTTCTACCATAAATTTCGCATCATTTTCGTAAATCATCTGAATTACATAGCAGGCATACTTCTTATCGATGTGCCCAACATTGTCCCTGTCAAATAGGAAATACACATTTAAAACGTTCTTGAGGATGGAAATGTCAACCAGCTTTCTACTTATCCGACGGTTTCCCCTTGTTTGTTGTCCCTCCCAGTTAGTTATTATGTCCCCTGGATTTTCCTGGTCAGCTGGAAAGACTGCCTCACCGGCAGTGGCACAATCCCGGTGCATGTCCCTTAATTTAAGGCTTCCGAAATATTTCGCTTCGTCAATGTGAACAGTGCCATTTGTTCCTGTCCCTGCACGGATTTCTCCATTCGGCAGATAACTCCCTGGCGAAGTGGAGCAACCAGGAGAATCAGGCGAGCCGGACGAACCTGAAGAACTCATTCGACTTTCTCTTTTGTTAAATGGACTTAGATAAAAAAAATCACGCGGATAGCAACAATGACAGAGGTACGCTCCGAGCGGATATCTACTCGCCGCTAAATGGACAAAAAAAGTATTCTGCCCTTTTCTTTCCGGCCCTTCGCGAATAAATTTGCCTCATCAAATAATGCCCTCTGAATTCTTCACTAACTTCTTCCTATGCAACTGTTCTGTTATATGTTCAAAAAGAAAAAAAAAAAGTTTATTTGTTCTTCCCTACACGCATGCGCAGATCCTCACGGACGTCCACCTGTCCTGCCGAGTGTGCATTAGCGAATTCTAATTCACCGATGGTGTTAACAAAAACATGACAGTGAAACCCCCCAGATTTGCTGCATTCTCAACGACGTGAATAGTTTACATTACGATCGTTTTGTGTATAATTTTACCCCAGAATTCGTTGTCTCACGGGCGCTTCTGTGCATTTTTCCCTTTCCCGTAAGCGTCAAGGGGTGAAATAAGAGCCAAATGAAAGAATAAAAAAAAAAAAATAAATAAAACCGGCGTGGGGGACCTCGCACTAGGTGAACAAAAAAAAAGCTGAACAGGTCAGAAAAAAAAAAAAAATTCCAAAAATGTGAAGTTGAGGCTGAAGTTGCAAAGATATGGCTACCCAAAAAGTTGTAACTTCAAATGGTGTAACCCTGGCCAAAGTTCAAACGCGCGCAGGTTAGAAAGAATGTAATAAAATGACGTGGCAACACGAGGAAGCTGCCAACAACATGAAGGGGCGAATGCCGATGGACTTCCACGAGTACTGCCAACTGATCGAGAAGAAGGTTAAGCGTATCAGCCCAGACGAAGTAGAAACAGCTAAACTTTTTGAAAAACTGATAACCAAATATAACATAAAAAAGGTGAAAAGAGTCTGCCTCGCAGTGAGAGATGGAGAAGATATTCATTCCCCATCCTCAGATTCTTTCTTTAACGATCACTATGTAGCCAATAAACCGATCATCATAACAAACTTGGGCCACAAAATTGGGAAATGCACACAAACGTACAGCAACAAAAATGTCATTCAACATATAGGGAGCATGAAAGTAAGCATACACATAAGTACCAGCAAATTTCTCAACAACATAGAAAAAAACTTCCGCTACAAATTATCATCTTTAACGAATTTTATACAACTCATTGGAGAAGAAGATCAAAAGAAGAGCAGATTTTCCCTTCGGTATAATGAAGGTGGAAAGGAGGTGTGGCTATTGCTGTGCAAGGCAGGGGAAGGGCAACACAATTTGCCTCCGCACCACCCTACCGTGGAAACTACAACCAAGGGAAGGGACAACCAAATGGATGATAATGAGCAGGAAGGAGTATATGGTGAAAAACGCCATTATTACTATTATAGATCATTGGGGACTAACCAATTTAAGGACGTCTCGAATATCAAAAAAATGAACCACTTCATCAGAGACAGTTTTTTCCTACCTGCACAGATTTACCCCCCGCATGATGAATTTGAGTTTTTCTCCTCCATTTTAAGAATAGGACAAACGAATATCTTCATTTGGCTGCACTATGACATCCCAGATAACTTCCTAATTCAAGTAAAAGGAAGGAAAAAAATTCTACTAATCCCTCCAAAGTTTATAAAATATTTTCAAATCGTGAATTCTTCTTCACCGTATAATCTGTTTCACATTCTGATGGGGAGAAGAAAAAAACTGACTAAACGAGAAAAGGTTGTCAAAAAAATACTCTGCAAGTTTGCCCTCGTGGCGGATTTGTACCAAGGTGACATTTTGTTCATCCCCTCTCTGTGGCTGCACTACGTTTATAACATGCCGGCACACACCTACGTGAAAAGAAAGTACAGGTCATATCACGAGCATTTGCGAGTCGAGACAGAGCAGGAGTCTGTCCAATTTGCTGCGCAAAACGAATGGGAGGAGAAATTCCCCTCAAATTGCCGCAAAATGCTGAACCAATTTACGCCTCTAAAGAGAGGAAGATATGCAGCGGTCATGGAGAGATACCCCCCCCGTGACAAACAGAACAGACACGAAATTAAGTTACTTCCGCAATGGGGCAACATCCCCTTGCGAAACAACAATAACGAAGCGTCTTCAAACAAGCCGAGTGATATAAAGCAGGATGAATTGATACAACACTACAGTCATTTAGAAAATTATCAGCATTTTTTGGAACATCACTTTGGCATTCGTATTAGCGACATAGAGGGGAGGAGCTGTGATGTTGGTTCCCCCCCGGACGGAGCGCCCCACAAAAATAGCCCTGCTGCAATCCTTAGTGAGGCGTGCGAAGGGGGGTCACCTGATACAAAAGAAAACGCCCAACAGGAGAATGAAGCAAATTCTAACGGGGAAATAAAACGAGGACACACGTCTCATCGGCACACTTGCTCCTCTGCTAAGCTAAACATCAGCGTGAATTACTTCTTCAGAAAGAGAAAGGAGCGACTCCTGTTCAGCAAAAAGGACCTATACGGGAACCAAGACATCATTTTGGCTAGCCAGCTGTTTAAGAAAATTCAACATGATATCCAACCACTGCTCGACGCACCTCCCAAGTATAGAAATTTCTACCTGCAGAAGTTACAGGGCATTTTGTACTCCCACCTGGATGATCAGTACGTGTAAATAGGATTCCCTCTAGAGACAGTAGAGGACCGAAAAGAAAAACCACCCATCGGCCAAATAACCAACCACAGACAATTCCCATTAGGGAATATTTTACGGTGGCATATCGGGAGGTGGCGCTTCAAATGGCAAAAAAAAAAAAAAAAAACTTTTATCAAATGGAGAGCCTTCGCTGCACCGGCAGATAGACAGGTTCAAAATGGGGGAAAAAAAATAGGAAAAAAAAATAGGACAAAAAAAAAGGAACAAGTTCAGATGCGAAATGGGGGGGCACCGGAAGGTACACAGCTGCTCCACTGCCCAACTTCCTAACCGCCAACTGCCCAACGCGGTTACTCACCTGTCGGCTCAAAAGTCGAGGTATTTCAACAGCGAAGACGTGTTGCCGCTTCTCCCCCTCTTGGCACACTTACCCTTACCACTCCCACCGTTGGCCGAACAGAGCGTCTCATTCACCATCACATAGTCGTATTCGTACTCATTCACCTGTGCACTGTATTCTTCATGTCTTTCGTCCCCATTAACCGCCTCCAAATCAATATTATCCCTATTGGTACACGTAGACATTTCCCTATTATGTAGGTTAAAGAGGATACCATAACCGATATTTGATATCACCCTCCTGAGCTTGTTATATTTTTCTTTATATGAATGAATTTCTTGATAGAGCCTTGCATTTTCCTTTTCGATCTCCTCCGTGGTGTATTTCAGCATCTCCTTCAGCTCTGTGTACTTTTCTCGCTCGATCAGGACGCTGCACAGGGGGAATAGAAAGGATTACACGCACGATGAAGATGTGGTTCGATCTTCCTCTTTTTATGAAGCGAGAACAGAAGCCTTAGAAATGGCACATGGGGGCACTTTACCCTTCCTCCGCTTCTTCTTTCCCGGGGTACATGCAGACACGTACACTCACGTGTGTTCTCCGTCGACACCGCCGCTTCTCTTGCCCCACTTACATATTCTGCAAATTCCTAATGACACTCAAAAAATCGTCAACCTCCCGCTGATAAAAACTCAAATTCAATTTTGTCTGATTCAGCGCGGTAAGAATATCGGGGCCCGAGTAATTGGAGTACAGGACACTCTTTCGAAACAATTTGGACTTTATTTTTTTTTTTTTTTTTTTTCTTTTTCCGCTTGTACTTTTCATACTGGGGAGGGGGCTCTTCTTTGGTCAATTCGACTTTGCCCGATTTGCAGCTTGAGCGCGACGAGGCTTCGTTTGGCTTCGGTGGGTCCCAAGCAGATGCTTTTGTTGGATCCGATTCGCACAGGTTAGGTGAATCCAATTCGCACAGCTTGGGTGAGTCCATTTGGCATAGTTTCGGCGAGTCCATTTGGCATAGTTTGGACTGATTCAATTCGCCCCCTTCTGGTGCGCCTGACTCATTTTCTGCCCCAACATCACGCACCTCACTTTTCACTATTTTGACACCTCCCTCCACTATGACCTTCTTTGTGGTGCTGTGCGGCATGATGACCTCGTCACCTCCGTTGCTGTGTGGTCCCTTTTGTCCGTTTCGTCCGCTTCTATCACTGCATGCCATACTGCGTAAGCTAGTCATCCCGTTAAGGGACCTGCTCGTGTGGTTACCCTGTCGATCTAGAACGTGGAGTTTCTCTGCACTGTTACTACCTCGCCGTAGGGTCTCGTTGTTGTGCGGCACTTCTTCCCCCTCGTAATTTAAAATGGTTTCCTTGTGTAGCGATTTGATTGGCACTACGTCATTGGGCAGAAGAGTTTGGTCAACGGTGTCTTCTCCCTTCTTGGAAGCCACAACAGAGTCGTCACCAGTTCCGTCTTGATTGTTCCGACTGGGATTGCTCTCATACCTATCTCCATGGTTGGGATCGTTCCTAGCTTGACCCTGTTTATTTGAGTTTTTTTTTTTCTTTTTCCTCGCCTTATTCCCCGTGCTTTTTTGCAACTCGTTCATGGGACTAATGGCAAAAGAACAGGACGGCGACATGGGGGGGTCCTTTTTCTTCCCCTTTATCTCCCCACATGGGGTTCCATGTTCAGTCTTATTCCTGTTGGTCAATTTGACGAAGCGGTTGTTATGTCGCATCATCTAGCTTAGTTGTTTGCGGGGTGGATCCGAGTGAGCAGGAAATAATTCTACATACCTCCAGACACGCTCACGCGCGAACCGGTATACTGGCAATGGTACGCGTACCTGCCTCCTCTCCTTGGTAGGACGAAAGAAATGAACGCCTCCTGGGTTCGGATGGGGAAAGAAAAATCGTAAAGCAATAAGAAAGGGAAGCCCCAGAATATGCCTCTTTTAAAGTCTGGCCGCACAAGATGAAGACAAAGGATTATCCTCCATGTCATGAAAGCACACATGAAGGGAGGTGCAAATTCTTCTGCAAATGCGCAAGGAATTTACTTCGCAATTGCTTCGAGAAGGAAGAACATTTTTTTTGTTGGTCCTCTGGGCGGTGTGTACAATAGGCGCAATTGCAGTGAGTGAGGCAGTGAGTGATGAAGTGAGTGTGGTAGTGAGCGATGTAGTTAGTGTCGTACTGAGCGAGGTAGTCAGCGTGGTTGTATCTCCCTCCTCGTTGGGCTTCAAAAAAGGGAAAATGGACGGAAAAAAAAATACACATATGTACACACGCGTAGGTTTCGACCTTTGCCCGCACGGGATGGTCAGCAAACCTTTTTTGGTGTTGCACAAAATGCAGGTAAGTCCCACATGCGTGCCTTTGCAATTTCGTGCAGCCACAAAATATGTGCGCAATTGTTTCACCGCGGATCTGTTGGACCTGTCGGGGGACTTCTCCTCATTCCTCTGCCTATTGGACTGACTAGCTCTTCACCCCAAACGTTTAAATGGCAAAGGGAGAGATCTCCTACTGGTGCATTTTGCTCTATCTTCACTGTCATACGAAAACAACTATACACCTTTGCCCCCTTCCACCGCGTTTGTTTTCTGCACAAGGGTACAGATGGAAAGAAAAAAAAAAAGAAGAAAAAATGAAAAAAACGAAAAAAATGAAAAAGAAGAAAAAAAAGATAAAAACACCCTTGCCTTATTTCCCCTTTTTCCCCTTCTTATTTCTTTCCCCTCTGAAGATTAATTCGGCTAACCGAAAAGGACGCAGGGGTAAAGAAAGAAAATATATAACAAAATGGATGGTGGGAAAAAAAAGAAAAAATTCACAAACCGAGCTGAACCGGGACAAAGGGGCCTGAACTGAACACACAGTGCCAATCAACCCGAGCCGCCCCCAACGAACGCACGAAGAAAAAATGCCCCAAACGAAACTCACATTACATACAGCAAAAAGGAAAAATAATAAAAAGAAAATAACCCTTTTTTTTTTCTCCTTTACATCCACCAAAAGTTACCCACTTAAAAAGAAAAAATCGTCGAAAAACTGCCATTTTTTTCCTCTTTTTTTAACCCTTCTGGCGTATACAAAAGAAGAAGAGGGCAAACAAGTAGCCCCCCCTCCGAAGAAGAGGAACAGTTTTACTCAACAAGAGAGTAAACATCCGACAGCATTACTGCTTTCACCTTCTGTTTTCCCATCATTTGGGAACCTTTCCCCTGTGGTCCCTTTATGTTTGCCATATCGAGAGGGTATATTTTCACTCCAAGAGGAAGAAACATAAACGGGAGGGTCCTTGGAGAAGGAGGAGGCGCTCGAAATCCGTATCCCCATGCCCAAAGAAAAGAACAGCGCGTTGGGGACTCTGCCCAAACAAAACCCCGTACATTACAACAGACTCTTTTATTTGAATGAGGAGTGAAATGTCTTCTTCCTGGCGAGGGTCCAAATGTACGCCCCTGCACCACCATGCGTGTGAATATAACTAAACGCTACATGGCTGACAGGGGCGCGTGCTTAAGAATCTGACGTCTGGGAAACGTGTGAACTTGAGTGTGCCCTTTTTTTTCTTTTTTTTAGTTATCTCCACTTTGTTCACTTTCTTGTTTTGTCTGCCCCTTTTTTTTGTCGTCCCTTGGTACACCTGTACACTTCGCAAACTGGTACAGTCGTTGCCAGGGGCATCCAAAATTGATGTTTGTGACGAGAGAGGATCCTCCCGTAGATGATTTTTTTTTTTTCTTTTTTTTCCTCCCCTCCGTATATACCCCTCTGATGTGTTTTCTTCCATATCACCAGCTGGGAAAGCCGAGGGGATAAAATAAAAAAAAAAAAAACTACATCACAATAAGTGTTCCATTGTATGCACACTTTTGTACCTTCCTGAATTCATCCCCGTGGAGTTTTTTTCCTACCGCTGCGCTGCCTACTCACGGAGATTCTCTTGCCATCACGTATCGAGCATTTGAGTTGGGAGTGTGGATGGGGATAACTCCCAATTCTAGCGCTTGTTTTTTTTTTCTTTTTTTTCTGTACCACTTTTTTTTATCCTCCGTAAAATACGTTCCTGTGTGCAGCTGCGCATAGCCATTCGAAGAATTACGCATTGGAACCTTCCCCCAAGGGGTTACCCAAACGAGTTGCTGAACGGACACCTCACGACGTGCCTGTTTGTCACCCTGTGCACGTAGTCAGCGCAGCAGTTTGTTACTCCTCCCAAGGGAAGATTACTCCATCGTACGCGGTACCGAAAAGGGAGATCTTCCAACGGAAGAGGGAGGAAAATCACTGAAACCCTCGCCCCTCTCTTTCTTTCTATCGCTCCTTCTCATTCCAGCCCTCTAAGATGACGTCCAACTACATTATTCACATCGGCAACAACATTGTAAATAAGCGATTAAAAATCAATGAGTACCTTAGCAAAAACGAGCGGAGGATAATTGAAAAAAACACAAGCGCCTTTTTCTACATTCTAATTAACCTCATTTTTGACGTGCCAATTGAGCGATTCCGGTTGGTCATAAATAGAAAATACGTTTTTCTCAAGAAGAAAAAAAAAGTCGATGTCGTCTTCACGATAACAAAGAAGTTAATCATAATGAACAATATCAGCGTAAAGGAAAGGTTCCTCTGTTTTGGGGATGGAAGAGGTGCAGACGGGAGAAGTGCGGACGAGAGTGATGGTACCTGTTGTCCCACACCGGCTGATTACATCCCCCCCGAATGCGAAGCCCCAGTCACCGACGCAAATGTCAGCCTCTTTCCCACGTGGCGCTTCCGCCCCAAGACGGTCTTCCTAGACAAAACAATTAGAAAGAACAACCCACTGATGAATGAAAAAAAAGATATTTCTCATCACAGCATCATGTCGAGCCTGCTTACGAATGCAAATGGAGAAAAGTTACTGGACTCGATAAAATCCCTAAACAACTATGATGAGCCTCCCGTCCAATGGACTAGCACTTCAATTCACTGTTTAAACCTCCTTGGGAATATAAGAAGTGAATACAAAGAGGAAGTGAAAAAAAAATTATCCTCATACAACTCCTTCTACTTCAAAGAAATTAAAAACAAAATGAATCCCTTTAAGACCAAGTCAAGTGAGGAATGCTACTGCCCCAGGGGAACCCCCCACTGTGACACTAGGAAAGTACACATTTCTGGTAGCGAAAATAACTTCTGTCAGCAAAGAAGCATCATATTGATTAAAAAAAGTGACAACAAATCGGGAATAAACATTTTTGATGAATTCCTGGACATTTATGTGCTGTTTCGTTTGAAGGGGGGTAAGGGAGGGTTTGGAGCTAATCTGCGAAATAAAAAAAAAAAAAAAAAAAAAAAAAAAAAAAACATCCTTGATGATGCCTCCAGAAATATAAGAGGAAATAGAGTCCTTCTCGATACGATCAAGCAAACTACAGAAAATCTGATCAGCAAAAGAGAAAAAGAACAGATCCTACTGGAAAAGCTTAACAGTGCCCCGCCCCTCATTCAGGAGCTCTCCTATGACAACGCGGACGAATTGGAGAACAGGGGGGCGATCCCAAGAGGTGAACCGGTTGGCCAAGCGCCCGATCAGCGGAGAGACCAATCCGCGGATCACCACCCCCATGGAGAAGACGCGCAAATGCAGACAACGTTCCACCGGAGAAGCAACCTGCACGATATTGTGTACAACGGAATAGTCCAGGAGGGGAAGCAGAAAAAAGATAAGACAAAGAAAAAAATCGACAAAGATAAACGGGAAAAAAGTAGGAACCTGAAGTCGATTGAAAATATGTACACCTGTTTGTGAGATGTCCCCGCGCGCTGCACACATGTGAGCATTTGCTCGCTCGCTTTCTTGCCTGCTTCCTTCTTTTTTTAGTTACTGTGTGCATACGTGTTAACCCCCCTTCAGTGGGGGAGAGCCCCCTAGCTACATCGTTTGATGGGTTAGCCTATGTGGCGTTCGCCAGCGTATCGTTTGAGTCCCCCTTATCGGTAGCATTTCCCATTGCTCTTTTGTTTTGTTTTTTTTCATACAATTTTGTTTGCACATCCCAATTAACCAGACGAAAGGAAACTTGCGCAGACTTTTCTTTAAATCAACGATACGGTTTGCATTTCTTATGTGCGTGCGTGTGTGCGGGGGACGGCCGCAAAAACGGCCAATTGAAGGAAGGAGTTGTGAACATGTGGCAGTAACGCAGCGCCAGGAGGTTGAAAAAAGGAAAAAAATGTCAAAAGTGTTGGAAAAAAAAGGGGGAAAAAATGGAAAAAAGAAAGGAAAAAAAAAGGAAAAAAAAAGGAAAAAAAAAAAAAAACGGCTCATCAAACGCGAGCTGGTGTTGCTCATTCGAAACGGAGGACGAAGGAAACCGCCTCACCACACACTCACGTGTATTTTACGATTTAAAAAAAAGACCGCAATTGGGTATGCCCTATTGGGTATTCGCATTGTGCAGCGGCCCGCTGGTACACCCCGTTTGGCACTCCTCGATGGATACCTCGGCCGATGGCGCCGCACCACTTAACCGGCCACCTGCCCATCAGCGTCGTCCTGCACAAACTCCACACTTATGTTGCACATGCAGCAGTTCTTAAATACATTTCGGGCGATATTCTCGTTGCTATATTTAATGATGGCATACCTCTCTCCAAAGGAAAACAGAGAAAAGTATGAAATGTGTTCATTTAGGAAGATGGAGTTATTCTGTGCGATGTAGTTGCTGAGTTCTTCGTTATTCTGAATGTTGCTCACGGAGTTAATCTTGATGGTCGTGCTGGAAGAGTTCATCGGGTCCGTCGCGCCTGGCGCCGTTCCTAAGGTTGCCCCTCCTAGGGAAGGCCCCCCTAGTAATGCTCCTCCTAGTAACGCCCCTCCTAGGGACGCCTCCCCTGCTGTTCCCCCTCCGCTGCATGGGTCTCCCCCGCTGGGGTTGTTGTTCCCACTTAAGCTTCCTCCGAAGAGATCCCCCCCGGGAACGTTCCCCGAAGGGCCCCGGTCATAATTATTAAACGAAGTGGCAGCACTAGAGGAATCCGCCAAAGGGTGCCCATCACACTGATTGTTGAGTGATTCTATCCTTGTTTTCAAATGATCAATCAGACACTTGAGCTTCTCCTTTGTCTCATCAGTTATATTTTTATTATTAAACATATTAATGTACTGATTCAATTTCTCCTTACATTTCCGAAGTAACTCTTTTTGTTTGATATTCATGATATGCTCTCTTTTCTCCGGACTCAGGGAAAGGAATTTCTTCTCTGATATGTTTGGAGAAATATACTTATTGCTGTTGGCCTTCTCATTAAAGTAACTTATTTTCCTTGACTCGTTTCGCAGCTCGAGGTGTATATTTTTAAAGTGACTCGGTAGATGTTTGTATGCATTGAAGGCACCATCGGACGACTCGAATTTCACAATAAACAGATTCTTCCCCTTCATGTAGCTCACTGATTCGACATTTCCATAGACAAAGCAGACACTATAGATAAAATTCTCGTCTGCAAACTTACTCGTTATGTTATGTATATAAAGTATTTTTGCTGCCTTCTTGTTCAGTATGTATTGCTCATTTGGGTAAGGGGGGCTAGGAGATGACATAGATGACATGTTCATCATGCCCCCTCTGTAGTCACCACCTCCGCTGTTACTCATCATTTGATAATTCATGCCACTGTAGTCGTTGTTATACGGTGGGTAACCCCCTGTGTTGTAATTTGGGCTATTATTTATGTTAAAGCCCCTGTTGTATACCACATTCGGGGGGGCGTTCACGCCGTGCATGGTTCTCCCTCCGTGGAGCCCACCGCCCCTCATCATCCCTTTTTCGTCCCCCATGTAAACATTTCCTCCTCTTCCCATGGGAAAGTTTCCCCCTCGATCGTTCTCATAATTGTTGTAGTACAGCCCGTTGTGCATCCCACCCGGACTCTCGAAGTAGTTACCATTCGGCTCACAGTTTCTATTCATACTCATGTCGCAGTTACCCTGCATGTGGTACCTCCGGTCGCCCTCCATTTTGACGGAAACACAATGTCGGCCAGTGCGGTGAAGAGTAGCTACGGAGTATATCGCTGCACAGTGCCAGGAAAATGCCCGACGCACACTGGAACAGTGCGTCCTCGGCGGAGAGGGGACTCGCAGGGGGGTTACAGACTTACCCTCGGTCGAAGAGCTTTCACGCGTATGCACGTGGGTACAGATATCCGTACGTACCGTTCAGAAGTGTTTATTTTTTTCTTTCTCTCTTTTTCCCACTACTCTACGATGCGTATCGCCCCCGCTTTAGCGCAAATCACTGATCCTCTCAAACGAACAACGGTTGGCAATCTCAACGCGCAGTCGGCAGGCCTTGCTCAAACAGCAAATGGGCCTCTTCACACATTTGGTTTCTTCGCCCTGATGGAACGTTCACCAGGTACGATAGCAGTGTATCGTAGCCGTATCGCAGCTGTATCGAAGCTGTATGGCAGTTATATGGCAGCTATATGGCAGCTGTATGACTGGAGCTGTATCCCCGCCGTGCAATCGCGAACGAGCCGGCAGTTTCTTCAAGCATCAATCGCAAGTACGCTCTTACGCAGAAGTGTTCCACGAGAAGTGAGCCGTGAGCTGTCGTCATGTATCTTTTCACCTTTCATCCCCGTGTTAACATCCCCACATTGATATGCAATGCGAAAAAGAAAAAATAAATAAATAAAGCCAGAAAAAATATTCAAACAAACAAGGAAAAAAAAAAAAAAAACTTCCCTTCGTCACAATTTTCAACAATGCGCATGTTTTACGGCCCCCTCCAAACCTCTTTTTTTTTTTTTTTTTCTTCTTTTTTCTTTCCCCATTTTAATTATTCAAAAACGCTTCAACGAACTGATCTTTCGAAACATTCGTTCCTCTCCTTCATCATGATAACGCTTGAAGAAAGGATGTGTTTTTTTTCCCCTGTAAATGTGGTCCCTACGCATACAAAAAGAGTTCGCTTGTGCTGGTATAATGTAAAATGGAAAGCGATATTAACGCAGGGGAGAAAGTTATCCCTTTAACATTTTCATACAAAGGATTGATTCTCCCCCATTACCCCCATTTTAAAAAAGTAAAATAGAAACTACGGATCACCCTCCCGCCATCGTCGGCTTCTTATGTTCCTCCAAGAAGGAAACAAACACACAGGTGCTGAATTGCATTTGGGAAAAGCAGCTCCGTAAAGATAATTGAAAGACTCCTTTGTAGACCCATCACAACAGTATTTACATGTCATTTTATGGGAAAAAAAAAAAAAGGGTAGAAGCTTCACTCATCGCATAGCACCGCCTCCCCTTCTGCATAACTGCTCAAAGGTATCACTTATAAACGATGCGTTTGGTTTTCTTTTTCTCTTCCTTTAACATTGTGGCACGTGGCATAGTCGTTTGAATCCGCCGTGGTCACCGCGCACAGAACGCACACAAGGAACACCTTCATCTGTCCTACCGCAAACGGGCCACTCACAATTGAGGTGCACTTCGATGGGTTGCTTTCCCACCAGAGTGATTGAAAGGGAGGAAGCCGCTGTAGGAGGACTCGCAACCCACAACAAGGAATGTGTCCCGGAAGAGACTGCTCCACTTCATCAGGCGGCGTAAAATTTGTCTTTACCCCAGCAACTCTTGTATGCAGTCACTTATGTAACTTCACGGCGGGTGCCCCCCTTGAGAGTCGGTCTCACATGTTACCACTCCTTATGACTCTTAGCGGCGCCTCATTCGTGCACCCCATCTGTGCGGCCCCATTCCGCGCCGCACCAAACGGGAATACTCACATAGTAGGGCAGACATTCTGAGGTAGTCACGGTGAGGTAGGCTTGTAAAAAAGAAACCGCCCGTTCGCCACACTTGCATTCTTGGAGGCTGCTCCATCGTAGGCCCTGTCGAATTGCTCACACGTACACACGCATGAGCACTAATGGGGGGTCACAACCCACAGGTGTGTCCATACTTTATGCAAATTTGAGGACCACATCAATGGGGGAAAAAAAAAAATAAAATTGGTGACGACGAACAGGAGAGAAAGGCGTAGCTCCATACTCATCCGATGATACCCCTTCTACGGCAAACGGCATTTCACAAAATGGACTCTCTACATGCAGCATTAGCTTTCCTGCGAGTGGGAATGGAAGCAGGTGGAAAAGCGACCCGGTGGGGAGGAATAATTTTCCAAAAAGAGGAGGATGATCTACCCGCACTGCTGTTCGTTTGTCGCCTGAGGAATGAAGCAAATGGGGGGGGTCGGGGTGTGGTTTCCATTAGGCAGGTGCGACACGACACGATGAGATTAGATGATATTAGTTTCGATGCGGTGCGGTGAGAGGTGTAATTTTAAAAAAATGGGGAAAAAAGGGCGTGCACAATTATGCTGCTGCGCGGACGCCCATCTCGACGTCGCCGCGGCACTCGCGTTGGAAAAACCCACAACGGAGCGGCAACCAAGCGAAGAAGGGAAGAAACAACGAAGCCAAGAAGCGAACAAGCCAAACAAAGGAAAGCACAAAATAGGCATCAGAAAAAATGCAAATTTCAGCAGAGTGGCACACTTGGCAGCGCGGCTAATCACCAACAAGGGAGGAAACTCCCCTCCGATCGGAAGGATCCCCTCCCCTAACTTCTAAGCCACACGACCTCGCACAGATGCAGAAGCTTATGGTGAACAGGGGATACGAGAGCAGTGCGGTGAAGCAGCCCAACATAGGAAACAGCGGAAATGAAGAAGACGGAAGTGGAATCCGAAGCGGAAACATAGAGAACCGAGACGGGTTCATAGAATCAATTTTTAAAAACATAACGAAGAATGACTACTTCAGTGCAGGCGTTGGAATCATCTCAGTAGGAGCATTCGTCACAGTAGCAAACAGGCTAAACAGCTACATCTATCATGCAGTGAAAAAAAATATGTTCACATCTCTAGAAATTACAATCAATGACAACGCGTATTATTGGGTTCTAGAATACATCGTAAAGAAGGGGATAATCAGTAGACACCTCAGCTTAAAAACGCAGATGCAAAATGACAAGAATAAAAAAACGGTATTATTTTCCTTCTTACCAAGCATAGGAAATCACCTACTCATATATGATAACAGATTTATATTCATTGAGCGAAGTAGAGAAAAAAGCATGACGTCAGATGTGAACAGATCAGTCCCATTCGAAAATATAAAACTCAGCACATTCATATGGTCCAGAAATATATTTTCAAAAATATTAACAGATGCCAAATTGCATATCGAGAAAAAGGAGGAGGGAAAGACTCTACTATATAAAACGTTTGGACATGAATGGAGACCCTTTGGAACTCCGAAAAATAAGAGGCCTGTACATTCTGTGATCCTTCCGGAGCACCTCAGTGAACATATAATTAATGACCTTGACACCTTTCTCAATTCCAGCAAATGGTACATTGAAAAAGGGATACCCTATAGGAGGTGCTATCTACTTCATGGACCCCCTGGCTGCGGCAAAAGCAGTCTTATTGCTGCGCTCGCTGGTCACTTCGATTTTGACATTTGCACCATTAACGTGAATGATGTATACTTAACCGATGACAGATTTATACACCTTCTTGCCACCGTCCCTCCCAAGACCATTCTCATTTTGGAAGACATTGACTTTGTCTTTCCCGGCCCGATGGATGCAAATGAGAAGGGAGGCTCCCCTATAGAAGCGTCATCTCATATGGAAGCATCTTCCCATATGGCAACTTCCTCCCCCACAGCATCCACCATATCCAATTCGCTACTCAACAGTGGTAACATCCGAACGCTAGGAGTCTCCTATAGTGGACTTCTCAACGCTCTGGATGGCATCGTCGCAACGGAGGAAAGGATCATTTTTATGACCACAAACAATATAGAGAGGCTTCCAAGTACGCTTATTAGACCAGGTAGGGTAGACCTAAAAATACTCATACCATATGCGAACACATATCAGTACAGAAAAATGTTTTTACGTTTTTTTCCCCAGCATGAGGATCTGGCCCAGGAATTCGCTACCATATTTGAGTCTTTCCACCTGAGCATGGCTGAAATTCAGTCCTTCTTTCTTTTTTCAAAACACGACCCGCATAAGACCATTCATAATGCCCGGCACTGGGTGCAGACCTACGCGAAAAAGAAGGCGGGGGGACAGCAGGGCTGATCCATTCTTTCCGAGGCTGAGTTGTCAAACGGTGCTTCGTCCTAATATTGCTGCATCGATAAGGGAGGCACTCTGCCCCCCCTTTTCCATTCTCGCCCAAATTGCAAACATGTCAGGGGGAGGAGGCCTCTCCATAGTTGTCCACTTAGACGTGGACAGATAACTTACCTCTTAAAAAAGAGAAGCGTTAACGTAAAGATGGTGCGCTGAGGGAGGCGGCCGTGGAGGGGGGCACATATGCTGCAAGGGACGAAGTGCACACGGATCGCAGGAAAACGAGAGGGTCACAAAAGGACCACGTACAGACGAATCGCTAACAAACGAGTGGGTCACAAAAGAACCACGTACAGACGAATCACAGACAGAAAAACTGCTTATACATGAATGCCCTCCGTATGACGGGGCTGCGCTCCGAAAGGCCACTCACAGAAAAGCCCTGCACACACACTGCTCATGCAGCTAACAGTCCCGTCGGTGGGCCTTCCCAATGGCGTCCTCCAACTTGTAGTACCCCCGCTGATAAAGCAAGTAGTCCAACTCACGCTTAATCCGAACGGCCGCCTTCATCCCATTGAACACCAGACAAGAGTACAGCTGACAGACGGAAGCCCCCGCCTCGATTTTCTCCAACGCATCTTTCCCAGTAAATATCCCCCCAGATGCAATTATGGGGATCTTCCCATTGGTATAATTATACATTTGCGAAATGAGATTTGTTGATATGTCTTTCAGTTTTTCTCCACTGACTCCTCCGTTTTTGTTTTGGAAACTTTTTATGTTAAACTTCTGCGTGGTGGTGTTACAAATGATCATCCCGTCGATTTCTGTCTTGAGCAGCACGTTTGCAATTTTTTTCTTTTCGCCCTCTTCCAAGTCTGGGGCGAGCTTCACGAAGATGAGGGGCCTGCTCTTCGTCGTGTTGACCCAGGGTTCGCCATCCAGGGCCTCTTTCCCGATCGCCTTCCCAACGGCCTCTTTCTCCAGGACCGTTTCTCCCCCGTCGAGCTTCCCCACTTCCTCCTTCACGCGCAGAATAATTCCCTGCAGACGCTCCGACTGCTGATTGTCGCGCAGCCCGGGAGTGTTCGGGGAACTCACATTGATGGCTATATAATCGGCGTATCTTCCAATCCGGGCGATGCAATAGCTGAGATCCTCCAAAATGTCGGGAGAGTCCTTATTCTTACCCAAACTGACACCAACCAGATGTCTTTGAAGCAGTTTGTCTGTGTTCTGTTTCTCCCGAAAGCGTCTCAAATTTTTTGTCACCTCATCACAACCGAGGTTATTAAAGCCACATGAATTTCTAATGCTCCTTGTTGCGATATCTCTGAAGATCCTTGGCTTATCATTTCCCTTCTGTGGTTTAGGAGTCATCGTCCCAATTTCTATAAAAGAGAAACCCAACTTCAGAATGGCATCAATGCATACCCCATTCTTATCAAACCCTGCAGCAACTCCAAATGGATTCACAAAATGGAGCCCTTTTATTTGTGAGCAGGAATATATGCTATCCTTCCCTGTGTCATAGGGTAGCAACTTGTACTTCCCCATGAGGAGAAAAAGGTCGTGACACGTCTCCTCATCGACATAGTTTAGAAGTATTTTTAAAAACACATCATAGAGAAAAAATTCAGGATCGTATGACTCGAAATAGAGGTATAGAGCTACTACACACATAGAGATGAAAAGTAAGACTTTCTTATGGTTCCTTTTTTCTCTTGCTATTTGTTCATTCAGTTTTTTTATTTCTTCTTCCAGTTGTTTTTTTTTTTCACTCTTGTTGGTTCGGCTTATGTCTGAGTCATCTTCTCTTTGGTGACCTCCTCTTTGGTTTCCTTCACCTGGGGGTCTCCCCACTTTCTTGTAATTGGACTCCCCACTGAAGCTTCTAACCTGTGCCATGAGCTTGTACCTCCTCATGCATTCGCTTCTGAGAGGTCTGAAGGTTGCTCCCCCTATAACATGGTCCTCAAAGAATCCATACCATTTTGCGTCATTCTTCTTTATTCGGCGAAAGCTGCCCAAACTGCCACCACACGCATCACTTGCAGTGCGCAGCTGCGCGCTGATCACCTTGAAGAGTCTACCCCCGATTAGATACCTCTTCTTGCGTAGGCAGTTATGTCTCAGCATGGCGGGGAAAAGCAAACTGAAAAAGGGACGTAAAACCCTACCCCCGGGGTTAATTTATTTTTTCCTTCTCTAACCAAATGGGGAAAGAGAACTCTCCAAATGGAATTGATTCATCTGGGGAAGTTCCGTGGCAAACTTCCTTGATGCGTTTAGCCACGTGGTTTCATTCTCCACACGGGAAGTCATCCTCCTCGACGTTGTATAGCGTCTCTGGGTGGCCTGCACGTGCAGCGCCGTCACTTGTTCAGCAGTGGCACCTGTGTAGTGGCATCACCTGCTCATCGGCATCGGCATAAGCTCTCTCATCCGTCGCGCAACAGCGAGTCTCCTCCCCAAGAGCTGACGCGATAGAACGACTGACGAAATAAGCTTCAAAAAAAATCTAGTGCTCCAAAAAAAGGAAATTCCACCACGAAAAAAGAAAAAAAAATCCTACTTAGCGAACATACACTAACAAGATGCTACAAGGGTAGGAATTTTTCTTTCTTTTTTGGATAAAATGGGAAGGTGTTCTGTGTGGTTGGGTCGGAGAAGCCTCCTAAGTGGATTGACACCATAGAACGGTTACACAGCTTCCTGGAGATCACCTTTTAAAATAGCCCTGCATTTATTAAGTGGCCCCACTTATCGCCTATACTAACGGAAGTACCCTCTCCCCAATGAGCTTCCTATTTTCTCAATCGTTTGGAACCAAGACAACCACCACCCCAAGGAGACATTTCCAAATAGTTATGTGCCTATCCTTACATGGCATAACGCTTCTACTAATCTGCTATTCCGTGGAGCGCTGCTTTGATCAGGGGGAGCATTAGCATCCCCGGCGAGAACCTCAAACGGGTCAGTGCCACCCATGTTAGCTGCCTCAGATAAGCTACCCCCCAAATTATCGCACAATCACACCTGCAGGAGGGACTGTGCAGCGGACTCTATCTCTTAACTTCTCTCCCATTCGGGGAAAACACGGCTTTTCCTGGGCGCCACACAGTTTCCTCAGGTGTACGATTGGTCAACGCGCCGTAACCCGGAGTCGTAACAGATGTCACCCAAGCATCTTAGCCGTGTGGCAGCTTTGCATTGCACGGCTTCTCCATGTGGAACGCACCTTTACGTGGCGCCAACCGGCATATTGGTGCGCAGAAAGCTGATTCATCGCTATCCGAACAAAGCTTATTCATCGCTGTGCATACAAATTAAGTTCACCTCCCCTGACCACTCATCACCGCTTGGAGCGTAAATCAAAAGGATGGGTGGGAAAAGTTAAAAGGTTAAAGGAGGCACCACATGGGGAGCTCAAAAAGGGAAGCTACGCAAAGGATGCGCGCCAGTCCCTCGCGAGGCCAAACGTGAACAAGGAAATGGGGCAGAAGCGGGACGGACACGGAAAGTCACCTCTTCCCTCCACATAGACATATAACAACAACATTCCCCGCGCCCCTTATTTTATTAGGAACATAGCAGGGTAAAAAAAAAAATTGTAGATAAATAGACAAATACATAAAAAAGCGAACTCTTTGGTGTATATTCCCAAAAAAAAAAAAAACTGGGGCGAATAAACTCGCAAACGTAAAAGTGCGGGGCGAAGGTTAGGCGTCACGATCACCAAGGGGTGAGCTTTCCAGTTGACAAAATCGGACCCTCCTCCTATGCACATGCACATGAGCTTATATGTGCAGATACCCTGTTACAACTTGATCGGGGGTTGACAAGGCGATCGTCCCCACAAGAGAGGAGCCACCTCAGTCGAGGAAAATCTTCTGCAGGTCCTTCTTATCGAAGGGGATTTTGCACTGGGGACACTTCCTGTTCCGAGTTTTCAGATTACTAAAAATGCAGCTCTCACAATATATGTGGCCACACTTGACGATGATATGATTTTTGAAATTCTCCATGCAGACACTGCACATTAGCCGTCTGCGTAGTTCATTGTTCTCTTCGATTAGTAACTGCTTGTCTTCCAACTCTTCCTCTACCTCGTGTTTTACTTCTTTTGCTTCCTTTCCCTCTTCTTCTTCCTTCTCCTTCCCCTCCCCTTTGGAGGAAGCATCTTTCGGATTTTTTCTGCCTTTACTGGAGGTAGCGACTTGTTCCAGGTGCTGATTTTCCCTATACAGCGCAATGCATTTATCTATTAGCTTCCTATTCGAACCATAGACTGTTCGGAGAATCTCCTCTAGTTCATTCTTCCTCTGGAATATCGATTCACACTTGTCTTTCATTTTAACGAACAAACTCATCTGCTCTTCATGCGCACTGTCCGAAATGACAGCACTTCTTCTGGCATAGTAAAACAATGACAAATATAAGTTTGCAAAATTTTCATATTTTTCGTATAATCGATTTATGGAGGAGATTTTCTCCTCATATGTCCGTTCTAGTTGCTTGATATTCTCTTCTACGTATGTTTTATTCATTATGTTTTTGTATTTTTCCAAAGATTCGAATTCTTTGTTTTTTATTTGGATAATCATTTCATCCACTTGTTCCTGTTTTTTTTCAAATTCTTTCGTTATCTCTTCTATTTCTTCGCTCATTGCATCGTAGTTTTTTCTCAATATGGATAGTTCCTTTTCTGCATTTTCTTTTTTTTCCAGAGCGCGCCTCAGTTGTTTGTTCTCCGCGATCAGTTCGCTGTGTAGATCTCCTCCTGGCACGGCTACCAATTCGTCGCATGTCCCATTGAGCATTGTTTCCCCTACGGCGGCTTCAGTTTCTAAGGAAATAATCCTCTCTCGTAATGTACTCTCCGATACCTTTAACTTATCGATGGAAACTCTCATTCGACAAATATCTTTCTCCTTCTGCTCCAGCTGCATTACATGGTTCGCTTCGATGCCCTTCAAGGTCTTAATTTCATGCTCCAGCATATTCACCTTTCTTTGCATCTTCTCCCTCTCCATACTGCACGTCATAAGGTCGACTTCCAGATTTTTTATTTTACCTGACAAGCACTTCTTATCATTCATGGTGTCGTTAAGTAGATTCTCGTATTCCTCATCTCGCATTTGCTCTCTTTTTAAAAGTTCATTTTTTAATACCACAATTTCGCCTTCTCTTTCTTTGAGCTCTTTATACACTTCGGTGGACTCTTTGATGAGTTTCCTGAACGGTTCGCTGTGAAGTATCTTCTCCTTCGTTATGACTTTGTCGAAGTGGAGAAAGCATGGCGTCGCGGGGTGCTCCCCGGAGAGGCAGCCACGATCAGCGGCGTCCTTTTTTCCGCTTCCGAGGATGGTGCTGTCCCCTCTTACGACGTCCTCCCCACCTTCACCTTTCACCGCAGTTTTTCCTGCCCTCCCAGTGGAGTAACTGAGAAAGCCGCACTTCTCCCACGCGATGCCAATCTGATTACGTTGCCCTGTGTCTTCCCCTTTGGTGCACCCCCCACTTAGCGTCTCCTTCGCCAAGCTCTCCATGGTGTTCTCCTCTTCCAAAATGCTGTTACAGATACTCTCATTGTTCAATTTAAAAAGGAGAGCCGTCTTCTTCTTTTCCAATCGATCCAACTCTATCCTCAGTTCATCACACTTACTCTCCATTTCGTCCCTCTTCTTTTTCTCACTTATAAACTTCTCATAGTACAGCTTCTTCTCGTAATGCAATTTTCTCACGTATTCTTTGCTGTAATTCGGGATGACCCTCTTTGGGGAGTCTAACACTCTGTTTAGCACAGTGATGGTCTTCTTCATGTTGGTTAAGAAGACCGTTTGTAGTTTACGATCCAGTGGGCTTCCGTTCCGTAGATCTGCGGCGAGGTCTTCCCTCCCTGTTCCTTCGGCTGCTTCTTTGGCTGCTTCTCCGGCTGCTCCCTGGGCCGCTCCTTCACCTGACTCGCCACGTTCCCTCTTTACCTTGACATCGGTGGGGGGGGAGCGGTCTGTTTGGCGAGCTGCTTGCGTACCAGCCGACCGCTCCACCCCCCCTTTCAACGCGCCGTCGAAGTTTATTTCCTCCTTTGAACTTAGATACATCCTCTTCCCGTTGTCTTCATCATTGGAGAGGTCTTCCCCCTTCATGTGGTCCTTCATGCCGCTATGAGCTCCTTCTCCAAGTTGTTCCATTTTTCCACTCCCCGTGTCGCTTTCCATAATACTTCCCTTTGTGCCTTTCGACGATGACAACTCATTCGGTTGTCTTCTGTTTCGATCCTTCTCCGTTCCATACATCGCTTCGTTACCCTCTTGGCTTCTTTTCAAATCGCTTGGGAAGGATTCCCCCTTTAGTGTACTACTCCCATTGGGCAGTTCCCCCTCCTCCATTTGACTGTTCTCTTCCCCACAAGCGTCATCCTCCGATGGAGAATTAAAAAAATCGGAGTCCTCCTCCTCTTCCTCGTTCTCCTTCTTATGCTTACTCACGTATTTTAAAAAAATCCTTTTAAACTGCTCCACATCGTAGTAGGGGGGGGCAGCTTTTTCACATTGCCACGTAGGTTGTTGAGGGTGCCCCCCTCCATCACACCGGGAGTCGCCTTTATCTTGGCAATCTCCACAGACGTCGCCAACACCACAAACACCGCCAAGTGCGCCAACTCCCCCCCCATCGCATCGCCCATCACCAGTAGCCTCCTCCTCCACACCTCCCCCTGCCAATCTCAACAAATCATCATTGAAAACATGCCACACGACATTAACATTCCTCAGCAAGCACTCATAAAAAGTCAAATCTGCCTTAACATCACTAATGTATTTGTTTTTCTCCTGGAGTTCCTTCCTATAAAGAGCTATTGCGTTCCTCAGATTGTGGATGTTCTCAATAAGGAGCTCCGTTTTTTCAAGTGGCAAAGTCATGCATTCGCTTTTTCCACTCCTGCTCCGTTTCTTGCTATTCATTTCGTTTGATATGATTTGATTTGGGGGGAGGAGGGGAGCGGTCTTAAATTGGACATGTGGATGGAATTACCTCCACTTTCGTGACTGTTCGCTTACTTTGCGCGAATGGGGCTCTGTTCCCTTTTTGGGAAAGACTATACTTTGACGCCGCCGAATGAGGGGGCCTATTTGGTTCTGTTCTCTATCTACCGCCCCTTCAGGTGCGGTACGTATGCTCATAATGCAATCGCATTACCAAACGTACCTCCGTGCTCACGCACAGGCGAAATAAATGCGCTTATAATCTTGATATGCGTGCGCGGCCTTCTAACCGTCGAGGCTACTGCGGCGGTTGAGACTGGTGCGACGGTAGAGACTTCTGCGACCGTCACGACTGCGGCTCCCCGTTGTGGGCGGCATTCGGCAGACTTCCGCATAGAAGCGCTTCAATAGGTCCCCCTGCGAGACTCAGATCATGCCTCAATACAGCATGAAGGACACCAAAGGTGGTGCCAAGGGGAGACTCTCGCCGTTGGCAAGCAGATACAAATACAATATGCATACAGGCGTCGTGGTATATAAGAAAACCATGCTGAGGATTTCTCATCGCTCGGATGCAAAGTCAAATTAAAGCGCGGAGTTGAAAAAAGGCGCTTCTGCGCTGCTCTGGGCACAAAAAATGGTCAATTGGGGTAGGCTCCTCCCTCTTTTTTCGCCGCGTTGCTTCGCAGTTCAACCGCGTTTTTGTTTTGCGGCGCTTCTTTAAAAAAACAGAGATAAACTCCTGTGCGCACCCAGAAAAGGGGAAATGTTTTACCCCACCTTCATTGTTTCAGCGGGGTCGCCTTCACATGCAAAATGGAAATTTTGATCCTGCAAAGGAATGGCACAAAAAAAAAGAAAAAAACGGGAAATGCTCCATCAGTAAAGTATAGCATAGCATTAGCGATGCATTCACAACGTGGTGAAGAAACCCCCTTTTTTTTCCCTTTAAAACTTCTCATTTAAATTCCCACGGAGCAGCATCAGCGACGTATGTTGAGCCAACGTGGGAGAATAGTTCCCACTTCGCAAGAGAGTGACTCTCCATTCCATTCTTTTTTTTTTTACTTCGAGATATACGGAACCGAAATTAACAAATTGAAGATAGCGTCGTATAATTTTCCATAGCAGTGGGAGGGATCCTCCACGGGCGTACTTCTGATCCCGATTCCACCTTTTCACGCTGGAAAAAAATTCCCACCTAAATGTATACGCGCCTTACGCAAATTTAACCTCACGAACGTAGGAAGCACTATTTAGAACTGCTGCCACCCATTTGATCTATGTGTAGTGTCCTTTCCCCTCCACTTGTAATGCATCCTCACTGGAATCACTTCCGAAAAAGCTTCCCTGATGTATCTATTACGCAAGTGCATCCATCGTTTGGAAGTCATGTGTACTGGGGATGAATAAAAAGTTCACTCCATCACCCTGCTAGCCCCTAACCCCATTGTTCCCGAGCAAGCGACAGCGGGATTCACCTCTTCTTCCTCGAATGTGATACGAGACATGGGAAGGAGAGAAAGCTGACTCGCCCTACTGGAAGGAATATTTTCCAAATTGGAGTTTCCCCCGGGAAAGCCATTTCCGCTTGATTACTCAAAGACAACTCTCCATTCTCCTTTTCTAAAATGCTACTCCATTCTTTACCGCATATGCGCCGTCAAATTATCCCCTCGAGCGCCATTCGTTGGATCTGCCCTCCAGAGGAACTCTTAACTGGTATGCTTTACAAAACAAACAGGTGCATAAAATTGCAAATCATGGGAGCATACAAAATTGACAGCAAGGGATGTCACTTGAGCAAGAAAAATTATATTCCACCTTGAAAGTGAAGTTTGCATGGGCAGCGGTTAGGGGGGGACAACTCACACGTTTGTTTCGCAAACGGTCGTGCAATACCGAAGCGGTTGCTTGCTCCAGGCCGCTTCGCTACATACACACGCACACTTTCTCAATCTGTCCATCTGGCTGATTGGACCCCCATAAAGCTAAACACATCACTAGGTTAACACTGCGTTGAAATGTAATGTAGTGAAGGAGGGTTGTCCCTCACCATTCCTCCAAAAAAAGAAAAAAATAAAATAAAATAAATAAATAAAAAAAAAAACAAGTCCCCAATTCGGAGTCAAATCCGTTGTGCCAATTTATGTTACCTAATTTTCCTGCACACCCCGTCCAGCCTAACATAGGGTAACCTCCGCCAGCCGGACAGACTCTTTTAGGTCCCCAGCCACCCCCCCAAAGGTACCGTCGTTAAAAGCCATTCCTGCGTTACTTCTCGTGTGGCAGCACCCAATTGGCTAATCATGAATGGGGGAAAATATGCCCACACGAAATGCATACCTGCATGCAGTGCAACCTGATTATATAAAGAATTACAGGAAGGTATGAAAACACATGTATCGTATGCACCCCCCTG